TGTACCGGCGTCGCGGCCGCCACCGCCGCTGCGGATGCAGCGACCGGCTATCCGTCGAGTACTACGCCCTTTTGTAAGATGCGTAATGCAATCTATGTGTAAGGACCATGTATCGCCTCTCCTTTTGTCGTAATTCGATCGATACAAGAAATTAGCTATCAGCTTTTCGTGAAATTATCTTCCGCAACTCCGAGGGGAGAACGAAGGATTCAGAGGGATGATGAACGTGTCTCTGAAATTTTGGTAAATCCGAAGAGATCGATGCGCGCTTGAGAAGAATTTCGGGGCAATGAAATATCAAAAGAAAATAAAAGAATAAATATATATATATATTTAAAGAGAGAGAGAGAGAGAGGAAAATAAAATTTGTTGGAAATCTTGTAAGAGAAATAAACAAACGTGGAAGTAGAATGTTCTCGTAGAAAAGAAGGAAAGGGTCGAAGAAACAAACGAGAGGGACGAAGAAGGAAGAAAGAGGCGTAAAACGTTTGCTCGAGGTCGAAGAAAATTTTCGTCGCCCTCCTTCTTCCTTCGTGAAAGGGGGCGGGAGGGTGTAGATTGGCGCGTCTTGCCAGGGTCAGAGGTCATTGAACGTCGGTAAAGATTTCGACTCCGGCGATGCTGTTCCGCAGTAAATAGGCGTGCGTAGCGCCCGCACTCTCTCTCCCACCGACATCCTAGCCAACCAGACCAGGAGTGCTCGGGTAAAGAGGGGTCACGGATACGAGACACCCTCTTCGCGATACACACCCTCGTTCGTGTAATCCCTACAGGCTACGTGAATGCCATTACGGCCCTAGTAAACCACAAAATAAAGACAAAAGCAATTTTTTTCTCTTTTGAATATAAATTTCTACGACAATCTTGACTGCCTTATCCGTTTTCGATTACGTCTCTTTAACGAGCAACGCCTATTTGAGAATTTGCCAGAAAATTTTCCCTTCCTTCTCTTAATTAATAATTACAACCAATAACGATACAGTCGAGTTTAATAATGGATAAGGACAAAGAGATTGTGGCGTGTTGTACACGTTGATAAAAAAAAAAAAAAAAAAAAGAAAAAAAAGAAGGAGTAACAAAAGCAAGATGAAATGTCACTTTTTAATAGGCTAAATGATTTTAATATTATCCACGAGGGTCGTACGATAGAGACGCCTACCACATAAACGTGGGCTCCATTTACGCAAGTGCTAACTGACACAAGTACAACGGACATCATCGTTCACGCACAGTCGCGCACGTACAAGCACGTGCTCCGCATTAATATCGCTGTTGGTAACTTGTCGCTGCGAGATCCGTGCCAATAAGAAACGCCCGAAGAACTTTTCTTTTATGCCTAGCTTGATTTTATTTTTTAACTGCGTCGAATACAACCGACAAATGCACAGTTCATTGACATTGTTCACTTTCACTGTACTGCAATGTCTCCCGTCTCTCAATGTAGTTTTAGTAATTTTCCGTTTGTAAAATCCGTGCCGGAAAATAATATCTCAAGCGATAAATAATTTGTAAAAATATTTGTTCAACATTTCGCAATCATTCGTTCTTCTTTAACCTACTTTATAATTTAACGTGTATTGCGCAAACGTTAATCGAATCGAAAGATATTATTTATTTGTTTACCATAAATATCAGAAATATACGTTATGCTCGAATAATTGATATCGTTTTATTTTTTTTTTTTTTTAAGAATGTAGATTTAAAAACTCACCTTACTGAAGTATCCGACCGTGTGACAACCTTCAGAATCGCCAATCGTCATCACATAAAAAAGGAAAGGCTCGACATCATAATACAATGTCTTATGATCCAAAAAGAATTTTGCCAATAAACAGAGATTTTGACAATATTGCTTGTAACGTTTCCCATCGACTTCCCAAACACCTATTTTATCTTTTCTGTAGAAAAAAAAAAAAAAAAAATAAATAAATAAAATTCAAAATATTTCTAGAAAAAATAATGTATATATATATTGTTTTGTATTTACTAACCTATACACTTCATGTCCAGGCGGATGTCTCCATAAACATTTTTCTCGATGCCTTCTTAAAACTTGACGACTTTTTGCATATCGTAAACAGTATTCGCATAAATAAAGTTTTGGAGCACGACTAAATTCCTCTGGGTATGGACTTTGATACCATACTTCCATTTCCCACTTTCCCATTTCGATAACTCGTGTACCACCACTATTTCTGCCTTCACCGTCGTAATCTAATTCTTTTAATTCTTTTTCCTATAAAAAAAAAAATTATAAAATAACATAATATAAAATAGCATTTGTAATTTACAACAATAAGTGTTTTTCAACTTACGATTTTTTCACTTGCGATCGCTTGCGCTTCCATAAATAATTTTAAATCGTAGTCTGGCGTTAAATTTGTCAATCGTGGCTGACGATCTTTCTCGTTTCCCTGAAGTTCACAACTACTATCGCTTTCGTTTCCATCACCAGCGTTTCCTTTCCATTTATTTCTCATTTCTCTCACTTTTAATTGATAATTACGCTGTTCCGTTGTTTGGTGCAAGCCTTTTGGAGATTTTTTCGCCAAGCATGCTATGGCTTTTTTCCTCTCTTCTTCGCGTTTTTTCCTCTCTTTATAAAATTCTCTGGAAAAGATACAAAAGAAATATGTTTTAAATATGTCAGAAAAGCATAATGCTATATCATATCATATAATAAAATATCACTTACGCGCAAGCTTGTGGCGTAGTGTTGTGATACAAAGGACAAGCTTCTAAAGTGAAATGCGAATCGAGCTTTCCAGAGAGATGGCCCCGAGAATCGCATGTTGGCGCTAGGGGACATTCTCTCTCCTTGTTTACGCGTGTACGGCCATAATTGCCTTGTCCTGATCTTCCAGTAGTAGCATTTGATGTACCACTGTTCTGTGGTATTCTGTTGGCTGCGGATGAATGTCTGGCTGCAGTACTAGGTCCAGCACGTTTAACGGGCGATTTGCTGGCACTCCTCTTGCTCTCAGCTACTCTCGATAAATCACACCGGATCAGCGGAATTTGCAGGATACGTTTACACGCTACCGTTTCCGTACCTGAGAACCATACTGCCGCCGTAAGCAAAAAGACTGTATCTGCATCTTAGGACACCTTGGACATGCTTTTTTGTATACGAAATGTTTGTCCCATCGACCAGTGGATTCCTACGGGCCATATATATGTCCAATCCATCCATCCAGAACCGCAAATACTGCTTTTTTGTGTTAAGGAGGCAGCATAGAGTCCTAAATCCACCGCCTGCAGAAAATTCTCTACCCGCCTCTTTTCAAGATATTCATGCTAATAATTTCGATTTTATCCGATCAAATAATCGAAATATAACTAGAGATATTTACTACGAGAGAACGGTGGTACTATATAGTAATAATGTACCTAAGTGTAATATACGTTGAAACTAGTAATGAGGTTACGATAAAAGATTGATAGGAGGAATTGAACTTATGAAAGGAGAAAATATGAAATCAGTTCAATTGGTTAGTCTAATTTCTAAACTAATATTGTTCGATATAAAAACGAAATAAAAAGGGAAATAATAAATAAAAACTACTATGTATTAAGGATATATAAGTAATAAAACACACATATGATATAAAACATGTTAGATAGAATTTAAGAAATACCAATTTTTTAAATGGAAACATAATGCATAAAGAGATAAGAGGGAGATATAAGGTTAATAGTAAAACGATTCGCATTCTATGATTGTTCCTACTATATATTTTATATATACCTGTATCGGATTCCGAATCGCTGGCTGCCTTTGCTTGTAGTTGAAGCAATTTGCTACCTTTTCGAGTCTGAAGTTTTCGTTTGCCTTTAATAGTTGCTTTCGACGTGCCCGTTTCACCATGTTCATCCATTTCTTTCTCACTCGCGGACGCGTCGGCTTCATCTTCGCTTTTTATTGTATCTAATAATCGCAATAATTTTTTTTAAATTCGTTATTAAATTCGTTTAATTAAAAGCACCAACTACTACTTACTTTGTCTTTTTGTACACTTTTGTGGTTTTACAGGTGCAACTGCTGCAGAAGGTCGCTTTGGTGGAACGTTTGTAGTGGCACTTATTGTTGTACTTGGTTGAGTATCTTTTTTCTTTGTTTGTGGTTGTGGACTTGTAACACTTTCTGATGATTCAGAATCTGTGCTACTATCTGTGGAAGCTGATGAACCTGATCCTGCAGAACAGCTTTTCGAACTTGCAGAACTATCTGATTTTTGAGATTGTGCAGATTTAGTTAATAAACCTAATACATAATAAATCAATTCATTTAAAATTCATTAGGATTATTTCGTATATTACGTATAAGATTTCGTATATTATGTCGCAATTACATACTAGATCTATTTGGAGCAACTGCTTTCTGTTTTGCATCATTTGGTTTTGGTTTAGATTGTTGATTTTTTGTGTATTTCGTAGAACTATTTATAGGTTTTACTGAATTAGTTTTTGTTGGAATACCACTGTCACTTTCACTACTATTCTCAGGACTGAATATACTCTTCTTTTTTAACTTTTTTTGTACAGGTTCAGAAATCGTTTTTATAGATTTCTCAGGACCTTTTCCATTAGCACTTGTAGAGGCTTTTAAAAAAATATATTATCAATTAACAAATGAAAAAAAATCTAAATAAAATTTCTTTTAAATAATGTATTCTTACCACAAGGTTTATTTGGTTTGTTAGCAATTGTTTTAGGATTTGGTACATTTTTTTGTTGACCAGTAGTAGCCACTGACTTAGCAGGTGGCCTTTGTTGTTTAACAACAGGTGCTACCGTAGCAGTTGCTTTTGGTTTAGTAGGTGGCTTCCTTTTTGTTGTTGCTTTTACTTTACTTGGTGATCCTTCTGATTCTGAAGAATATACTACAGATCTATTTTTTGGTGGTACTCTATCTTTATTTTTATTTTCTACAGAAGGAGCAACAGCTGTATCAACTTTAGATTTGCCATGTCTATTAGGAGGGAATGTTGTTTTCTTTTTTGTCCTTTCTGTATCAGATACTTTTTGACTATTAGCAGAACTGCTAGAATTTTCAGAATCAGATGAACTAGATTCACTGCCTGAACTTGAAGAACTACTTGATGAAGAACCAGAACTAGTTGTTGTGGTAGATTCTGAACTAGTGGTCTATCATTAATAATAATATTATATTTATTAATTCACATTTATATATAATATAAACTATAAAAGTAGAATGAACATATAACCTGTAAAAAATGTACATACCTTCCATTTTGGAGTCATTTCTACAGTGCTATCTTTTAAATAAGCAACAAATGGTATTTAAAATCATTTCTGCAATAATATCTATTTTTCTCCTGAACATGTATGGAATTTATTTACAATAAACTTGATTAAAACAACAAATCTTCCATTTTGTACTTTCACTCACAACAATTCCACCATATTAATATGTTATATCGTAGTTCTGCGCAAGAGTAATGTGACCTTAAGGCTAATTTAAAAATAAGTAAAAAAATAATGTTTATTTTAAAATATTTTATATAATTTATAAATAATTGATAAAATGAATTTTATTTAATATTAATGTTTGAAATTTTAAATTAATTTTTAGTTTAGTAAAGAAAATTAAAAAATAAGTGATATGCAGAATATGAGAATGTTCTATATTATATTTATGTGTTCTATGATTCATGCATATAGATGGCACTTGAATCAGATATCTAAATATCTCTTGACACATCTGATCATTTCTTAAAAAGTACCGGTGCAATACTTTCTTTAATGGTATATCTTTAAATTTAAATCTATAAGAAACATAAATTAAAACTAGAAAAATGACGGCATTTGAAGGTAAATAATTTATATCTTTTTAAATAAAACATATAATAATATTATCAATAAAATTATTATCTTTGATAAGACTGTTAAAAATTTTTAAATATTATTAAAATTTTATTTAAGAAATGGGTGTCTTGCCTGAAATTGGAAAGGCAGTTGATGAAATGGAATGGACGTAAGTAAAATAAAATTATGTATATAAAAGAAAATATTAAATATTATATATTTATGTAGATTACCAACTGATGTCCAAGCTGAAGCAGTTCCATTAATTTTGGGTGGTGGAGATGTTTTAATGGCTGCAGAAACTGGTAGTGGAAAAACTGGTGCATTTTGTTTACCAGTTTTGCAAATTGTATGGGAAACTCTAAAAGATTTAGAGTCTGGTAAAATGAGCAGTAGTTCTAGTAGTCATCATCAACCTTGTATGTTTTTTTTGATATTTGTTACAAATTATTTTGTGCTTTTTTTATTCAACAATGATAGCATTTTTATTTACAGCTGCACATTGGGCATTAAGTTTATTTGATAGAGGTAGAGCATTAGCTGTAACTCCTGATGGTTTAAGATGTCAAAGTCGTGAACAGAAAGAATGGCATGGTTGTAGAGCAAACAAAGGAATTCAAGGAAAAGACAAATATTTTTTTGAAGCTATAGTAACTGATGAAGGATTATGTCGTGTAGGCTGGTCTACATCCCAAGTAGTTATTTTAATATTTTATTAGTTTTTAAAAAATGATTGATAAAATATATTATAATTATTATTATATTTATAATTATAGGCTTCACTAGATTTAGGAACAGATAAATTTGGTTTTGGTTATGGTGGAACTGGTAAAAAATCAAATGCAAAGCAATTTGATAATTATGGAAAATCTTTTGGAATGCATGATGTAATTGGATGTCTTCTGAACTTATCAAAAGGTGAAATTAGTTTCACATTAAATGGAGCAGACTTAGGTCCAGCATTTACATTAAATGCACAACAAAAGTCACAGACTTTTTATCCAGCTGTAGTATTGAAAAATGCAGAAATGTCATTCAATTTCGGAGCACAACCATTTAAATATCCTCCTCCAAATGATTATATAGCTGTTGCTTCGGCGTCTAAAGAAGCGATAAGAGAGAATTCTATAAATAGTAACCAAACTCAAAGCAAAGAAGATGGCAAATCTAAATGTAATGCTCCTCAAGCTATAATCATGGAACCTTCAAGAGAACTTGCAGAACAAACCTATAATCAAATACAAAAAGTAAGATATCAATAATTATAACTGATGTTAAAATACTTATCTTTTTAAAATATTATAATTTATAATTTATAAAATGCGTTTATTTCTACAGTTTAAAAAATATTTGAAAGATCCAGTTATTAGAGATTTGTTGGTTATTGGCGGAGTTAGTGTAAAAGAGCAAATTTCTGTATTAAATTCAGGTGTAGATATAATAGTTGGAACACCAGGACGTCTAGAAGATTTAATACAAGGTGGCTATTTGTCTTTAACACATTGCAGGTATTATATAATATATTTTTTGTATAATACATTTATCAAATATAATAGTTATTGTATAATTTTTTTTTCAGATTCTTTATTTTAGATGAAGCTGATGGTCTATTAAAACAAGGTTATACGGAATTAATCGATCGTTTGCACAGACAGATACCAAAAATTACATCAGATGGAAAAAGATTGCAGATGATTGTTTGTTCTGCAACTCTACATGCCTTTGAAGTAAAAAAGATGGCGGTAAATATTTAAATTGTAATTTGTAATGTTATATAAGTTTTAAAAAAAATATATAACAAATTTTTATTTTGCATATATTTGCATAGGAACGTTTGATGCATTTTCCAACATGGGTAGATTTGAAAGGTGAAGATGCAGTTCCCGAAACAGTGCATCATGTTGTTGTAATAATAGATCCACAAAAAGATAAATCTTGGCATAATTTACGAAAATGTATAGAAACGGATGGTGTCCACAGTAGAGATAATATAAGACCCGGAAGTAATAATCCTGGTGCGTTTCGAATTAAATAATTCCGCATAACTTATGATAATTTTATAAATCTAATAACACGTTAAATATGTTTTATAGAAACACTTTCAGAGGCTGTAAAAATATTAAAAGGTGAATACTGTATTCGTGCCATCAAGGAGCATAATATGGACAGAGCCATTATATTCTGTAGAACTAAATTAGATTGCGATAATTTGGAACGATATTTGAAACAATCTGGTGGAAACCAATTTTCATGTGTATGTTTGCATGGCGACCGAAAACCTGCAGAGCGTAAATCTAATTTAGAGAAATTCAAAAGACAAGAAGTAAAATTTTTAATATGTACCGATGTTGCAGCTAGAGGATTAGATATTTCAGGATTACCTTTCAGTCAGTATATTGTGTTAATATTTAATAAATTTTTATGTAATTTTATGATTTTATTATTTGTATAATTCTTTTTTTAGTGATTAACATAACTCTACCTGATGAAAAATCAAATTATGTACATCGTATAGGCAGAGTTGGTAGAGCTGAACGAATGGGTCTAGCCATTTCGTTAGTTAGTAAAGTTCCTGAAAAAGTATGGTATCACGGTGAATGGTGTTCTTCTCGTGGACGAAATTGTTACAATACTAATCTTACTGATAAGGGTGGTTGTTGTATTTGGTACAATGAACCGAACGTAAGTTTTAACATAGTACGACTTGTTTACTTTTTTCTTTGACTTTCAATTATTGAAGTTATTTTTTCCAGTACTTAGCTGAAATTGAAGATCATTTAAATATCACAATTCAACAAGTTGATCCAGATATGAAAGTTCCAATGAATGATTTCGATGGAAAAGTTATATATGGAGAAAAAAGAGCGACAATGGGTATGTAAATTTTATACTAGTATTATAAATTATATCTTAATGTTTATAAATTTTTAGGTTCCAATTATCAAAATCATGTTCAGCAAATGGCGCCTTATGTGTCCCAATTATCCTCTTTGGAATCTAAAGCACAAATTTGGTATCTAAAAAGACATTTGGTGAAAACGGCGAATTAAAATGGTTTACACATGATTATATGAAAAACTTACTTACTATGTTCTAATTTAATTTAACTCTATCTTCATATATTATGCTTTAATATGTTATACTAGTGTTTGAATAGTCTCTTAATATTTATAAATATAGTGTACTTCCAAGTGTAATATATAAATTTGTTACAATTAATATAACATATTACTTCACGTAACAATGTGTCTCAACATTTACTTCATAATTAATTATGAATGAAGTATTTTCGATATATTATCTCTAAAAAAAAACATATGATTTAGATAGCACTTAGATAATATATGTGTATATAAGACATATGGTAAGTGTTTATTGTTTTTATAATCTTCATAATTGTACCATCGCTATTTTAGTTACACAAATGTATAATACAATGGCCTTGCAGTACTGTTGATTTTGTAATTTTCACAATATCTTGGTATGTTTTTTATTTGTATATGTGCATGTGCGCGCACGCGCGCATGTGTGATTCAGTTTTTTGTATAATATATATATCTATATATATATATATTATATATATTATATACTCTTAGAATTTACTAAATGATCTTTGTTTAATTACACATAATAATTTATACACATTTCTCGAAATCAATAGTAAACGACTAAAGTTATACAGTATACAAATCATACTGTTTGTTCTCTGCATTCAGATATAGCGTACGTGTTCTCCCTTTTTTGTTTAAATAGTGTATATGATTCATATATAACACGCTATACGAACATAACGCGTCTCTCATCGACACGAGCGAATGAGACGCACATATTTTCACACTTGTAGGTGATTTCATTTTATTTCTTTTGCACAATTAGTACAACACGAGTCGAATTGTTTATTCGCTATAATAATTTAATTAATTAATCAGCATAGATTCATGAAAACATTTCTTCTTTTCTTTTCATATTCAGACAGTCATCACAGAATGAGAATGAAATATTTATTTTATTTTTTTGTAATTTAAAAACACATTTATAATCGTACGAGTCATTCTTCCTTTTTATTTTAATGCATTATCAGTTATCATTCACGCAGTCATTCAATCATTTTAATTCAATGAATTATATTTATATCATATACATATATATTTATATAATATATAAATATACATATATATTTATTTATTTATTTATATATATTTGTATATCATATATACTACATGTCCACCCCACGATCCTTACTTAAATAGCTTCGACAACTAAACGACTCAGGCGATCAATACTTGTTCGTGTATTTTATATAGTAACCATATCTTTTCGTTTGATTGCATTGTACGCAATGTGTGTCGGCTTATATTTTTTATTTTACTTTTTTTATTGTGCAGTTATATCGTGTGAATACTCGTTAATCTAAGTATTTAAAAAAATTCTTTGTGCTCGTTCTCGCAAGAGCACAACTTTTTAATACCAAGAGTAATCATGGGGCAGACAACATTTAATTTCATTTCCTAACGAATTTCTGTATTATTATTCATTTACATCACGCATATTTTTTGTTTTATATTTTTCTGTATATTTTTTTTTCTTTTCTTTATACGCGTTATTATCCATTTACTCGCATAATTAGCGCTTATTCGAACATTACTCTTTAACGCTTTCTTCTTTTACTCTTACTTTTGCGCCTGCATCAATAGTAATCTTTCTTAAGTCTTCAGCTAAACATATTTCTAAGATA